TAGGATGGATCCTTTTTCCTTTTTTCATTTTTCAAGTTGCCCCAAATCTGAGGTTGTAAAACACGAAACTCTACAACTAATAATGTCCAACATTTTCCACAAAATCCTTCGTTTTTCTGCGTTTCTTCAACAGGTAGGAAAACCTAATGTCAGAACATCACGTCAGACCACTGGGAATGAAGAGAAACTCCAAATGTTACACACGTTTCCTTGGAAGGTTTACATGGATGAGTTCAGGAGAGGGAAGCAGCATACGGTGCAGTGACAGGGTTGCTAAGTATTGGAGACGAGTTCATTCGTCTACTTTACATATGTTAGAGAGTCTGATTGATGACAGACAAGAATTACTCACCTGTGAATGCGTGTGCGTCACTGCCAGGCTGTGCTGTTGATCTATGCAAGCTTTTCAGTGTGTGTGTGTGTGTGTATGTGTGAGTTTCATCTGTCAGCTCACCTAACTGCTTTAAATGTACAGGAATCCCAGGTGGGAGGCGGCTGCTGAAGCATTTGGCAGATAGTGGGAGGGCAGCCGGGCGCTGATGGTTGCGCTGCCAGATCTGGCGTTGGCGGCGGCTAGCACGTCGGAACGAGACGTGCCGTCCAATCATTTTCAAGAGACAGCAGCGTAGGAGGATAATTACAAGTATTCCTGTCAGAGGCGTCACGTTTCCATTGATGCACTGGGCTGAAACCAGGAGTGATGTAAGGAGGTGAGTGGGTGAGACTGGAAGACAGGAGACACATGAGAGGTTGGATTACCAAGAGCAATTAATTAAGTCTGTTTTTGTCCTTTTATGTTCTCATACTATTAGCTAGATCTTCTTAGCATTAGTATATCTGAAGGAAAATATGCTTTTTATCACTTTCATTTCCACTTTTGCAACAGGATCAGAAAAATAAGCTTTCAAACTTTGCAGCAAGAGGGGGAAAAAAGCCGATATTTTGGTACAAATAAAGTACAGAAGCTTTACACCGAATCAAGAACAGAGAAAAGCCACACTAGGCTAATGCTCCCTGTTGAATAAAGATTTTCGATTCCTCCAGACCTGTCTTATTATATAATAGCAGTTCTGGATTACATCTCAAATCTGTATGTTAGTGAAACCAGGCTTCAGGGTTCAGCTAGAGGTCTGTGTGTGGTGATTTGACTCCTGATCTCATGCTGCCATAAATGATGTGTGTGTTTCAACTAATCTGCTATCCATGACAAATTTATGTTGTAGTTTAACCTTGTATCGACTTTTTATGGTGTAGCCTAGGATGTGATAAGAACTTCAGGGACACGTATAGAGATGTTTATGTTTGACTTCCTTTGATCTGAGCTGAAGAAGGAAGAAGGAGGAGGGAAGACCCCCGCCCATCTGGCTGATACCGGAGGGGGCTGGGAGAGGACCCAAGGCCGGAGAATGCTTCCGAGGCAGGGGTTGCCATGGAGACGGAAGGGGGGCTAGGAGGAGAGAGTTGAGGAGAATAAAAGGGTGAGGGCTCCGTGGAGAGGGGCTCGGTCTGGGGCTTTTTGGGTGTTTGAGAAGAGTTCGGAGGACAACTGTAACGGTTGAGTGATCTGACCCGCTGCGTCGGGAAATCTGGAATATTTTTACTTCATCATATAAAATAAAATATTTGCTCCTTCATATAAGGGGCTTTAAACGGAATCTCCAGCCTGGGGTCTCCAATCGTGTCGTGTAACAGCTGAAAGGTGAGGCGCTGGTTACTTTTTGATCCCGCTCCAAGAGGTTTACATTTAAACTTAAAGTCTTTAACCTGGGCATAGCATAAGCTGCAGGTGACTGAGTTGTGGTGAAGTTATAACAAGAGTCTTCCTTTGTGCTGCTAAAGTATGTTTGCCAGAGTCTAAATCTAGGTAAAGATGATCGCTGATTAGCTCACAGAGGTGTAAGCTCAGACTGGAGTCACGCTCACGCACAAATAGAATTACAAGTCAACCCTGAGACGTAGTGTTTATTAAAGAGTCAGCTAGTTTGGGAGGATGACTTGTAACATGGCGCCCTTTAACGTGGGGCTGTGATTTCGCAGTTGAGTAGAAAACAACCTGTTGTGAGCTTAGAAAGTCCGGAACTGGGAAAATTGTCCGCAAGGACGGACAATTTGTCCCTAAGGAGCCGGCTATATTGGCCGAAGGGGGCCGCTTAGGGAGCCTATGAGTTTAGATTCTGAAGTCCAGTAGCTGGAAGTGTGTTGGAACGTACTGGTCCGGTTGGATCGGTTCCGTAGAAGTGCGTTTCTCTCCACCAGGTGCACACGGCGCAAAGGGGTTTTTGTGAGAACCTCTTAGCAGAATTCTCACACGCAGGAAAGTGAGTGGCCTCGTAAAAGATTCTCACAAAATAGAATGAAGTCGCAGGTTGCAATTCCTGACCTCGTGGACGTAATCCGGGGCAGAACAGCTAAGTTGCTGCTGGTGTGTGTGCACGCACACCCTGCCTTTAAAGGACAACGATTTTGATGCGAGGTGATCTTTATGAGTAAAGATACTCGTGTAACTGAGGGAAAATTTAGGGATGGCTGCAGTAAGCGAGGGAGGAAGAAAGCGGTGAGAGGATGGCTTATATTGAGAGCTTGTGGGCTCGTGATGACCCAGCTGGAGTGGGAGCGATGTTTTCTAACAGAGGTTAGTGAGTTACGCTCAGCACGTCTAGCAGATGGGTCAGATATCGATTTTCAACCCGCGTTCAATGATAAAATGCCCGCTTTATGCATGCCTGCGCCGAAATATGCTAGTTAGTTGTGCATTTCAGACTTGGTGGAGCTTGTGCAAAATAATCTGTCTGATTTTACTCATCCAGCAAGCCTTGTGCCAGATCATGATTTTCAGGTGGTGGTGAGAGGAGCTGTTGTAGATGTGGATAAAGAAATGGACAGGATTATTCAGGGAGCTTTGATTGATGAGCGACAGAAAGCCCTTCTCAGACACGAGATGAAAACTATTAACTTTGCCAAAAAAATCAAGGATGATTGTGGATTGTGCAAAGGTGAGCCATATGTAATTCAAGCTACCCCTCCCCCGTGTGTGCCTCAGAATCCAATAGGCAGGGGGGTGGAGGATTGGAATGAGTTACTTGTTGATCTGAAATATAAAGTTTCTGGGATATCAATACACTCCTGAAGGGAGAAAGGTAGATGTGAAAGTTTTTGAAAACATCACGCTGCCAAAAAACCCTGCTACAGCTTGAAGGAGTGTTGGAAAGCTGGGGTTTTATGGTGAAAATATACCAAAGCTGTCAGAAAGAATGCAGTCTCTCCAGGCCTTAAAGCGAGGGCTTAGAAGCAAGGGGGGGAGACTGATGAGTAATGACCGTGTGCTCACAGAGGAGAGTGAGTGAGGTCATTGAACTTTGTAAAAACAGTCACTGTGCTTTTGAGCACAGAGACACAGAAAAACACAGAATGATGATATGGCATTCTGGGCATGGATTAAATATGTAAATAACAAGAGGACCTCTCAGAGAAATGGGAGAATTGCAGGTTCTGCTCAGAAAGCAGAGCTCACAGCTGTATTAGAAGCTATGGGTACATCATGTGCGCTGAGAAAAGGTAACTTCCAGGTACGACACCAGCCAGCCCACACACTGAGTAACACCTCTGCTGCCAGAGGAAATGCTGAGGTGGACAGGCTAGTGCAGGCCAGAAGGGTGAGATTGGTTTTGCATGACAGTACAGAGTCTGACTACGACCTGGTGAAGAAGCTGCATGATACTTTGGGACACCCTGGGTTTCAAAGGCTGAAGAAGTGGTGCTTGCAGAATGCAGTTTGCATCCCCCATTTGGACTCTGTGCTGAGAGATGTTAAATCACACTGCGCTCTATGCTTAGAGCTGGGTAAACAACCCACAGAGAAAGTGGTTGGCGACCGTATTGGTCCAGAAGGTTTGACCTCTGTCTCTTGTGACATTGGAGAGCTAAAGAGAACACGAAGGGGCAATAAGTATTTCCTGGTGGTCAAAGGGAACAGGGGGGAGAGTATAGGAGGTATGTTCCCTTTGCCCAATATGACAGCAGGAAGGATTGCAGATTGCCTAGCAAGAATCCTGGTGTGTCATCCACAAATAAAAGCTATCAGGATGGATAATGCACCACATTTCAAAAATAAAGTTGGTCTGGAGCTGCTGGAGAATGAAGGACTGATAATCCAGTGGTCCATCCCTTACAAGCCACACACAAACGGAGTGGCTGAGAGAGCAGTTCGCACCATTAAAGAGGCGATAAAAACCTTGAACTTGAAGGAATGGGATTCTCCAGGAGCAGTTCTGGCCATTAATAAGGCTCTATTACAACGGCCTTTGAGACAAGAAACTGCTAAAGACACACCCTCTGTCTCTCCACAGGGAGAACAAGAGAGACGCTTCCTGCATAAAAGACCCCAGGATGGAAAAGTTGAAAAGATTGAGGGGAACCATGAAGGGGACACAATCAGATGTGCAACCCCTAACCAAAGCACAATCTGGCTTGGAGACTATAAAGAAATGGGTACCACTAAACGAAGGCGGAATTGCATCCCCAATATGGCTGCTGAGTGCATCAAGTTCAGGGGGGATCACATTAGGTAAAGTACAAGGGCAAAGTTGTGATGAGGAGTGCTTCAGCTGGTCAGTTTACAGACCGGGTACATGCGCAAACTGTGGCAATGAAGTTGCTGAGATAAGGTGGGAAGGCCCGAGATTTCTTAAAGACAAAGTTCTGAGAAAAAATCCTTCACCCACGAATGCTGTGGAATTACATGGTGTGATGAAAGTGGCGTGGTGTGGAGATTGTTGGATGAGTAAAGCAGGCAAAACAAGAATTGGTCGTCTGGATCATCATAGTGTTGATGAATCTAGAAAATGTTGTAGAGTGGACAAAGGAAGACTCTCCAGTTGTTCCAGTTCATGTGGGGTGAGAATTTACCCTGTGGTGTTGCTGGTTCCTGAGATGAGTCACCTGTCAGGCTTGACATGCTCCCAGGCATATTGGGAGAATTGCTTTAAAGAGATAGTGTGTACTAAAAAGGGAGGGAGTTTGAGTGAAACTTTCTCACCTTGGGGAAAGGTGCTGTGGGAAGCTACTGAACCACAGCTGTGTTGGAGAGACAGGCGAGGCAAGTTTCCTGTAACCACTGACGAGTGGGAAAGGAGACAGGTTCGTCATGAGACAACAGATAAGGATTGGTACACCTCAGCTACTGTACCAACATGTAATGACTTGTCAATAACCAGAAGTCAGACGCAAGTTTTAGTTAAAACAAAAAAAGGCTGGAGGAAGCTGGATGTCTGGAGAGACTCACTCAAGAAGAGTGATGGTGTTTTAATAGCAGTAAACTTGGAGTGGGATCGGCACGCGGAGACCCCCAGGCTATTTACAAGGGACACCGTGGCTGCGCCAAGGCCACAGGTGGATTAAGAAAAATGTGTATGATGAAGCTCTCTGCCTAATTCTCCTCGTCTCTACAGGCAGCAGAGATTCATGGATTCCTGCGGAGAGTGGGAGGAGGAGGAGCTAGATCGGCTCCTCACACGACCTCCTGATAAGACTTGCTGGGAGAGTTGGAGAGGAGGTATCTTATGTTGTATCGGCTTATTAATCTGTGTGGTAGCGATATCTTTTATCTCAAATGCCTGTTTCACGAGTTGTAACACTCAAGACCACGGCTGTGGTTAAAGGGTGGGTTCACAAGCGACCAGGAACCCTAGACCTGCCTAGAGTGTCGTGCTTGACTCCTCATGAGGAGAACTTTAATGCCACTCAGTGGATGGAATATTGTAAGGCTGTTACACAGGGCTGTCCAATCCCTGATCCAGGCGAGGCCTGTAGCCCCACATCTACCGGCTGGCTGATGTGGTTAGAACAGCTCAATAATGTCAACGACAGCCATAACTCTACTTATGGGCTGTTAGGATGGGAGGAAGGAAAGCTTAAAGTGTGGGATTTCACAGTTGATGTACAATCTGTGGAATGTATTACTAAAATCTACCATTTTGGGGTACTAACTGTCTGGGGAGAATATATAACTGGTTTTGATAAGGTTTCTGATTGCATGATATTCAGACTCCTTGCGTTCCCGAATGGAACTGCAGCTGGGAATGATAGCTGGGCAATGGAGGGGGGTTCCCTACCCCCCATGTCGCAGCTGATTGCTCCACAAGACGCAGACACGGCTGTGACCCCTCACTTGAGGAGGCAGACGCGTGCTGCTAAAGAGCAGACGAAAGGCCACAGGCTTCCTAGTCCACAGAGTATTTGGTTGGACAGAACCAAAGCTTTTTCAGCTTACAAAATGATCCCTTTAGGAAAGGGAAAACAACTGTTACCCATGACATTGCATGTAACCCCAAAGGGAGTTAAATTAAACTTCATTCATGCTCCGCATGTGCTGAACAGGAGCTTGATAGATGGAATGACAGAATATTTTATGATCATCCCACGTCTGGCCTGGGACAAAGGAGAGGCGGATAGCGTGTGGAGATGTATTAAGAAATTAACTAGTGACCCAAAATACCCCAGAACATGGTGGAATAATTATATATGGAAGTTAATGTCCTTAGGTGGACATGTACGAGGTCCTTTTCCTGGTATGATTCCGAAAACGAGTCATGATGCATGGCTTGTGAATAGCACATCGAAGAGATGGGCTCTGAATGTGTCATATGAAATGTGGACGGAGGATGTTCATGGCTTAATGGGACATTTTGCCCCGAACGGGTTTGATAAGCCAGGGCGAGTGACAGAGTACGATGTCCTTTTTGGACAATGGTGGGCTACCAATCTGACAGAAGAGGTGTTAGAATGCAGGCCTAAAGAGAGACTCGGCTCTACAATCTTTTGGATGGCTAATTTACTGGCGTTGTTGAACCCAGCTACAGTCCCAACGATTAAAGATGTAAATGTGAAAAAAGGTGTAAATATGACTCCTCCGTTCGTGAGGATGGAGAAACATGGCAGTTTAATAGAACTGACTATGGTCCGATCTCAAGGTCCGCATCTAGATGATTTGTACTCCACCCCAGCTTATTCAAAGTTTCGGTTTATGAATATGACATGGGGGCATTATACTGGAGAGCTGCGAGACTTGGAGTATGATTATGCGTATCGCGAACAAGCTTTACGATTCAGGGAAGCACATTGGGTGCGAAATTCTCTGTTAACCAGGTGGTGTAGGTCTGATGCGTGTTTCAGAACTTTGGCCCAGCCCGCTACGAAAATTGCTGTCAGAAATGGGAAAAATGTGTATAATCCTTATGAACTGGGCGGCTTTGTTGACCCTCACGGTTACCCCCACTGGTGGCACTCAAATTGGAGCAGCTACGTCGTATGGGACTCAGAGAATTTCCCATCATTAGGAGTAGGATGGGGTTACTTTGCCAACTCGAAAGGCCCCAAGGCTTGTTTTTGTCAGGAGGACATAGATGCTGTTGAATACAGGAGCGACTTGGGTATATGGCCCTTTCAAGCATGGATTCCTGTTGGTGGGGGTCGTTGGGAGCAGAACTGTTCTGGTTCCTTTCATTTTCCCAATCGGACAGGCACATGTTGGTTGAGTGAAAGAGCTAGGATGTCTGATTGGGAATTTGTCCAGAAGGGTTTTAAAATTATTGGCCAGGGATTAACCTTAGGTATCAGAGAGGCCGTTAAGGTGGTCGCCCAGGGAGCAATGGGTGTTGCCTCTCTGATAATCTCTGAATTATGGGTTTACACCAAGGTCCCTGTGATCGTAGGAGGGGTCCTGGTGATGTTATCTGTTTGTGTTAAACTCATGCATCTTTTGAAGTGTTTTGCCAGCTGCAACAGGAGATCTGCTAATCAGCCCCGATGGCAGGAGGAAGGGCCTCCTGAGTCAATTAGATTGGGACCACGTGGACGCCGGGCACTCAGGAACAGAGCTGCACGCAGGTAGCATCTCCCTTGAAGAGAAAGTTCTCAAGGTATCATGGCCCGTGCAGAATCTCCACGTGAGGTATTTGGAGAAGCAGATGAGGATGTGCTGATTACCTCGGTAAGACTGTCTCTATTAGGTTAATCTTACCGGCGAGATATGCTAATATTAGACGCACAAGAGGCCTAACTGAGGACTCTTGGAATGTTGATGTGATAACTTCTGCTTAATGCATGATGAGAGAATGATTGGTACATCCTGTTATCTGATCAGGATGGAAAGGCCCACTTATTCATTGTGGTTACTAATTTGCATGCTGTAACTTGTGTAATTCCTGCGGGAAGCAGTGAAGACCTGTGACCTGCATTAGAGGTCTCTAGGATTTTTACATACCTATTAGTGGTATGTTTGATATCATTATATGGATGTGTTGTACTAACAGAATTAATGATGAAGAAGTGTCTGGCTGCATTTTGTGAGAAAGACCTGACCTCAAGTTCACAGAGGATGGTAGGGTGCTGCTGACCCCTAGTGGGGTCATAAAGGTCATGTGTGACTGGTACCAGAACCAAGGTCTGTTTAGTGTCTCTGTGTGTGTTTTTAGGTTGATGAATCAGAGGATCTATTGCCTGGCCCAGACTCTCAGGAGATGCTGGTGCTGCCACCCAGTGGACAGAAGCCGCTGGTGAACAAGCGACGTCAGCCTGGGGTGATACCACCCAAGAGAGTTTCACTTTACGGGCTGGTGGATGGTAAACCTGTAAGGATAAACCTGAATGGACCGTGGAACGCACATGTTTGGGAACGTATTGTGTTGGTCTCTGATGGTACCAGTCATAAAGGGACTCGAGTGGCGAGGAGGGCGAAGAGCCAAGGCGTGTGGTCAGGATGCAACCATCACCTGCTAAAGTGGACGTTCCGATGCAGGAAGTGAGCCCTCCGGAGTTCGATCTGCGTCGGCAGCTTCAGGCCGCTCCGTCTGTCCAGGCCATAGTACCACCAGTGATGAATGCAATAAATCCACATGTTTACTTGTATCCAGGAAATTTGAATATGCAGTATTTCCCGCAGTTTATGCCGTTTAACGAAGCTTGGTTTCAAGGGGGGTGTTGAATAAAGATTTTCGATTCCTCCAGACCTGTCTTATTATATAATAGCAGTTCTGGATTACATCTCAAATCTGTATGTTAGTGAAACCAGGCTTCAGGGTTCAGCTAGAGGTCTGTGTGTGGTGATTTGACTCCTGATCTCATGCTGCCATAAATGATGTGTGTGTTTCAACTAATCTGCTATCCATGACAAATTTATGTTGTAGTTTAACCTTGTATCGACTTTTTATGGTGTAGCCTAGGATGTGATAAGAACTTCAGGGACACGTATAGAGATGTTTATGTTTGACTTCCTTTGATCTGAGCTGAAGAAGGAAGAAGGAGGAGGGAAGACCCCCGCCCATCTGGCTGATACCGGAGGGGGCTGGGAGAGGACCCAAGGCCGGAGAATGCTTCCGAGGCAGGGGTTGCCATGGAGACGGAAGGGGGGCTAGGAGGAGAGAGTTGAGGAGAATAAAAGGGTGAGGGCTCCGTGGAGAGGGGCTCGGTCTGGGGCTTTTTGGGTGTTTGAGAAGAGTTCGGAGGACAACTGTAACGGTTGAGTGATCTGACCCGCTGCGTCGGGAAATCTGGAATATTTTTACTTCATCATATAAAATAAAATATTTGCTCCTTCATATAAGGGGCTTTAAACGGAATCTCCAGCCTGGGGTCTCCAATCGTGTCGTGTAACAGCTGAAAGGTGAGGCGCTGGTTACTTTTTGATCCCGCTCCAAGAGGTTTACATTTAAACTTAAAGTCTTTAACCTGGGCATAGCATAAGCTGCAGGTGACTGAGTTGTGGTGAAGTTATAACAAGAGTCTTCCTTTGTGCTGCTAAAGTATGTTTGCCAGAGTCTAAATCTAGGTAAAGATGATCGCTGATTAGCTCACAGAGGTGTAAGCTCAGACTGGAGTCACGCTCACGCACAAATAGAATTACAAGTCAACCCTGAGACGTAGTGTTTATTAAAGAGTCAGCTAGTTTGGGAGGATGACTTGTAACACTCCCACACAGCTGCACCACCAGACCCCTTGTTACTGCTTCTCATCATTAAACTACAGCATCAAAAAACTGACAGCTTCTTATTTCTGCTCAGATTTTGCACCGTCGATGAGACGACTAAAATCAACCACCCAGAGGATTGTAGACACTAAATCTTAGGGATGTAAGAAAATGTTGATTATGATAATATATCGTGATATTTTCCCCAGCGATATTATATCGATATTCAAAAGCTGTGTATCGAAAATATCGATATTGCAATATATCGTGATATTTTTTCTTGCAAAAATATCTCAATAATCAAAAGTCGTGTATCTCATTTTTGGAAGAATTTACATGGAAACATTTGTGTATTTTCTTTTCTTGTGGTGCAATTCAAACGCCGACCACTAGTTGGCAGCAGTGTGTAATGGGTTTTGTTTCTACCATTGAAATGTAAATCCCTCTGTTATGGTTAAACATTTTAAGCATCAGTTTGGACTGTTTATTGAATTTTCCTATAATAAATTTAGTCTAAAAAATGGCCAATATCGTCTGACTGAATGTATCGCAATATATTGTGATATATTGTATCGTCTCCCCTGTATCGTAATACGTATTGTATCGCCAGAATTTCACCAATACACATTCCTACTAAATCTTATTTAAATTGCTTCTGAAATTGTTTCAAAGACTAGGCAAGAGAGGGACCGGACTTGTCTGAGGATTTCTGCACAAGTTGTGAGGTCAAGAGTTAAAGTATCTATTTATGGATTACGGTAGAAATCTGAGCCTCTCTGCATGTTTTCCATACATGGGCTTTAGCCAAGTCCTACGGTTTCTTTCAGGATTCATCACTGTGATGGAATAGTGACCTGTCCAGTATCAACCCTTAGCCCATGACTAAACAAGAAAAGGTCGGTACAGATGATGGATGGACTAAGATATTTAGGTTATACTCCAGCATAATTTTGATGGTAAACTATCATGGTAGAGGAAAAGAACTGTATGAAGGCCTTACAAAAGCACAAACACAACTCACCATCAAGACACGTACTCCTGATGTCATAAGTTCTGCCTCAGGATTCGGGACCAAACTGCAGTAAAAGGTCTTGGACTTGGACATGTTCCAAATGAGACCTGAGAACTAACCTGGTCTTATACTTAAAGTGACGGTGTGTATTTTTCCTGGCGATAGGGGCAGTACATTCATAAATCATTGCAAGCATGAGGTATTTTCATGTTAGGGTAAGACCTTACCAACAGATAGCCATTTGGGTCAAAAATCCCTGGGAGGCAAAACAACAAGCACATCAGACTCCCTTTCATCGTTGGCAATGAGTGAAGAGCTAAATGTGTAAAACAGTTATGAACGACAACAGTTGTTAACCATTTGTCACAAATCAGTAAATGCATTTTGTCCTCACGGGCTCCCATAGAAGGAAACATGGCATCTAATATGGTATCGCTCAGAGACTTAGACCCGCTCCCATTTACTTTAGACCCAATTTCTATGGTCACATGGTATGAATGTGTCTACATTTTTCATCAGCTGGACATCGTTTCATTCATTCTCAACATTTTGGTGGATCTTTCCAGAGATTAACAGTACAAACTAACATTGTTGCTTTAAATTTGCTCCTCAAGGACTAAAGACTCGACTTGGACTTGCCCCTGAAGGACTACATGCATAACTTATCCATAAACGCCCCTCAAGAACTTTAAACTTTGGCTGGACAAACCTCTCAAAGGCTTTAGAATCAAATGGCAATGCCCCTGAAAGATTCAAGGCATGACTGGTCCATCACAGATTTGGGAGACGTCTTGGGCAAGTTCTCCAAAGACTCTAGATCTGACTTGGAACCTGGCTCAATATTAACCTGTCCCTGAGACTCAAGTTTGTTCATTAACAATCTGACTGACTTGTCACGTGACTAAAAACTTGACTTGAACTTGACTCAAAGACTTAAGTTATAAAATGACCTGTGAACTTATCAGGCTGTTATTACACAACTGCACTAAAAAGAGATATTCTTTGCGTAACTCACTTATCTACCTCTGAGGACATGAGCCGATAGTCCCAGATGAAGACCAGTTTGGCTCTGACTCAATCCAACATGGCGGAGTTACACCAACGCTCGCCTCAGTGTGGCAGTGAGTCTGCTGCTGATGTTCCGACTAGCTCCTCAGCTGTCAAACGGGCCATTCGCCAATGAAATAAATTCCCACTTGGTGCCCACATCGATTTTAATAGTGCTCACAATATTAACGGCATGCAATCACAGTAACCAGTGCTGCATTCAAATCGGTTGCTGTCAGCAGCCCAACACCGAGTCTGCTGCAACACGGCGTTCAAAACTAATAGGATAGAGGTACACGCTGTCGCTCAATATCACTTTATGCTGTCGTGGATCACAATGAGAGGAGCTGTGAGTGGGAACATCGAGCTGTGGCGTCCTCTCGGGCTGGTAAATGGAAGATGAACATCACAGCAATATGAAAAACACTAAATACCACAAACACAATAAAAAAATCCAGATTTTACAAGAATCTCAGTCACTGAGGGTTCAGGAGCTCATATGGAGGGGAAAACATCTGTGCCTAATAAAGACTAACAAATCTTTCAACCGGTGTGCTTTTATTGTGCTGACCAAAGGGTGCAGATGCATTTTAAGAATTTGAGGACATTGAAAGCTTTGGAAAACGCTCAACATTCATGAAAAAATTGTTCTTTGAATGTAAAAAAAAAAAAAAACTTCTGTCATTTTGAAGGTGGAGGGGTGCAGCAGCATAGTAATGCAGATAATTGGTTAAAACCCTTAAAACCACGGTGTTTCAGAAAGATTCATATGGTACTAGGGCTGGGCGATAGCCTAAAATCAATATCAGTATATATTCAGGATTTCACCTCGATAACGATAAATGGACGATAACTACAGGTATGCGCAGAAACAAAAGTTGTCCACTAGATGGGGCTGTCACATATATTACGCTGACTCATACTTTTACGTGACTCAAGCTTCTTAACTCATTCACTGCCGATGATGACTGAAGTTGTCATTTGCATGTTTTTACTGTGTGGGCGTCGGACGAGCCCCCGCACCGTGAGACCAAACATCTCAGCTCTAAAGCCGATCTTCATCCACATACGTCACACGTCACATGATCAGGAAGCAGAAAATCCATGTGCTAGGAGATCGTTTTGGGCCGCTGCTGTAAAAAAAGTGAGGCGCGAACCAGTAAAGCTTCTGCCGATCACAATTCAACAACATATTATGAAAGAATGGATAACACTCGAAACGCGCGGATTCTTCCTGATGTAAGAGGTGAGTCTCCGCTTTGTTTTGGTTGTTTTGGTGTCGACATCATCCTAGCGCGCAATGTTCTATGACTCTTAAAAAAGCAGTAAAAACGCTGAAAAATGCTGGCAGCGAAGAGCTTTACCAAATGGCTGGCAGCGAATGAGTTTAAGGGACATGAATTTTGCCAATCCACACACAGTTTTTCATTTGTTATTATCATATTTATTGCGATGGGAAAAATAATCTCGATAAGAGTCAGAAATTTCGAAAACGATACATTTCCGATTTATTGCCCAGCCCTACATGGTACACACGTAAACACGGGGGTTTCATTTTTACAACTCTAATTTTTTTTAAATTCCCAAGGTTGCAGGTTCAAATACATTTACACACACACACACACACACACACACACACAAACACACACACACACACACACGTTTGTTTTGGTCTCTTATTAAAATAAAGACTAAAACTACATAAAAACCTTTGACAGGCCTGCAGGAAGTCTGAAGGACTGTTGAGACCAGGGGCGGCGTTAGGCCCGGCTACTTGGGCTGAAGCCCCGGATCTTTCATGATAAGCCCCGGATCTAAATCGCGGAAGTAACATGCAGTACCAAAGTCCAACAGAGAGAGCGCAGCTGGCAGTAGTTTGTAAAGTCCCATTTAGTCTCCGCATTTGACCCATCCCCTGGGGGAGCGGTGAGTTGCAGACACGCCGCGCTCGGGAACTATTTGGTGGTTTAACCTAGAGCCCTGCACGGGCCTAAAATCTGAGCCCGTGTCCGGCCCGGCCCGAGGGGGTGGAGCCCCAGCCCGACCCGGCCCGAAAAGGTTTTCAGGATTCTCTGGCCCGGCCCGAGCCCAAGCCCGACTTTTTTTTAACCAACTAAATGAAAACAAAGTGCCTCAATCCTGACCAATGTGTTAAAAGACGTGCAGGATCCGAGCGCCGCAGAAGCGCATGCGGGAAGCTTCTTGTTCGGTATTTTTTCACATCCTGCTCCAGTGTGTTGATTCTGGTTGTCTTGGGTTAAATCATTACCTCAGAACATGACACTTCTTCCCACTGAAGCGAGTGTTTTCCAAACCCTGTCTCTCAGAGAGACTTGTCACTTAGAAAATGTTCCCTGATTATGAAACTTTGGCTGAATAGTGCTTGTTCCTGTCTCCAATGTGGCGACGCATCCACGAGCCGTCTGAGGAGAATCCCAGAATCTCACATCCTCTTCAGCTCATGAGCGCCTATGATTACGAACAAGCGTGACCCAACACGGTCTCACAGTAAGACTGGGTTGGAACTGTTCAGGTTTACACAGACAATCTTCACATAGAATTGACTTACAGATATAAAATTAATTCAGTAAAAT